ACCAAAGTGGACTGCAGCGGGATTGGATCCCACCTCGTGCCTGTTCCCATTCCCTTGGACACCACCTACTTGGACTTATCTTCCAACCACCTGGAAGCCGTCAACCAGTCCATCTTAACTGGTCCTGGTTACACCACCCTTGTAGGCCTTGACTTGAGCTACAATAAAATCTCCAGCGTGCTCCCTGCCACCTTCTCAAAACTCAGGTATCTGGAGTCTTTGGATCTGAGCCATAACTCTTTGGTGACTGTCCCCGAGGACTGTTTCTCTCAGTCCCCTCTGGGAGAAGTGGACCTCAGCAACAACCTTCTCTTGGAGGTCGCTTTGAACATCTTTGCCTTCAAAGGTCAAGGGAAACCCATCAACGTTGACCTTTCCAACAACTTAATAAGCCGGGTGTTCAGATACCCGGATAAACCCATTCCTAACATTCAAAGTTTCAATCTCTCGGGGAATCGATTAACCAGCATTCCGGATCTTCAAGGGATCCCCCTTCGTTACTTAAACCTTGACGGAAACCCGGTATCCACCATTGAGAAGGATGCTTTCCTGGGTCTGAAAGGGTTAACTCATTTGTCCCTGAGTGGGATTCACCATCTCTTGGACATTTCGCCTTTTGGCTTCAACGATCTCTCTGCTCTCCAAGTGCTGGACTTGTCCAACAACCCCAATATGAAATCCTTGAACCCCAAGGTTTTCTACAGCCTGAGTTCTCTTCAAGAGCTCAACCTGTCCGGGACGGGAGTGGCCGTGACCTTCTCCAAACCTATGTTGAGATACTTGCCTTCCATCAAGAGCGTGGCCTTGGCCAAGAACATCCGGTGTCTCAAGACCGTTCAGGAAGGACACTACCACCGAGCAGCTGGACCGAGCAAGAAAGAGGTCCTACGATGTCACGGTGCCCATGGATCCATGGCGCCATATGTGTTGTGACTGAGGACCGAGCCTCCGCATGACGAGACTTAAAACAAAACAAAACACAGCCACGAATGTGCCTTCTGTACAAACATTTAATTTATACTTTTTTTGTATATCTCAACTCTTTGTTAACAATAATGGATGGATCAGAGCGCTTGCGAGCCTGGTTTATTTCGGCGGTCCCCCAAATTTCCAGGTCCGTGGACTGCCGGCAGGGCGGGGGTGGTAGAAGCGGGGTGGTTTGGTTCTGAGTAAGGCTTCCTGAGACCATAATTAAGCACCACACTTAGTCCAAACAAGTCTTGTTTTATTTCAACACTGGGAATTATTTTCATTCCCAGCCGTTAATGAGTCCCAAACAGTCCCTCGAGATAAGCACCCACCTTTCTCTCCTTTGAGTGGCTGCCAACAACTAAAGTGCCAAATGAACTGTAAAAAACGAGCCGAAGTACAAAGTCCACACAGAAGCTTCAAGGTTTAATCCAAACAGAATGAACGACTTTGCTTCCTACAAAGGTTTCTCTACCTTTGCCTGTCCTTTATACCTTATGGGAGGGGCAATCACCTCCAAGCCTTACTCCCAAGTTGCCCCTTTCGTCTTAACTGTTCTTGCCTTCTGGCAGCTCTGTGCATACGCGCACTGGAAACAGGCTCCCTTTGTTCCTCTGCCTCGCTGCTGCCAGACTCTAGAGGCTCTGGAATCAGCACCCCACTCCCAGAGGGTCCTGGCCCCATCTCTGCATTGGATGCAGGACCCTCATCCGAGTCCTCCCCAGACTCCCAGACTGGTCCCCGTTCTTCCTCACTTGTCCGATTCCACTGCCGGCGAACCACAACAGGTTTCGCGTCGACACCTGCCATTTGTGCAAATAGTTCCGGGTGTTTGCACACTCGCCTGCAGCTTGCACACGGCCCGGTTTCTAATAAGCCCGTGGACCACTTACCAGTCCGCAGAACGGGTTGGGGGAGGTCCCCCGGTTTATTTGATTCCCTAATCCTCGATTGTTTCTCCTTGAAACCCTGAGACCACATCTGCGGATCTACCGTGTCCTTCAGATACAAGGAGAGTCCTCAACTTAACGGTTCATTTAGCGACCATTCAAAATTGCAATGGCAGTGAAAAAAAAGTGACTTGTGCCTGGTTTGTACCCTTAGGACCATTGTAGCATCTCCATAGTCACACGTGTCAACTAAAAAAATACTCCTTTGGTTTTTTTTTAGTTGCCAGCAGAAAAGGAGTGGGGGCAAAGCAGGACATTCCTTCAATGCCTTAGATAATCGCCTTGGCAGCCCAATGCTGTCGACGTGCAACAATATTACTGGAGAGCATGATTGAAGACTCTTGGCTATGAATGTGTCCCATTGGAGAATCCAGGGGGTGAGGGGTGGGGGAAGACGAGGGTCAAGGGGTAAAATGAATGATGTATTTTAGTGTCTACTGCACCCAACTAACACTAACATGGCCACTCCAAATAATTTTTTATTTTTTTTTTACTCTGAGAGACGTGGCTAGAGACTTATGATTTGAATGGGGATGGATTCGTTGGAGCCCTGACAACATGATCACAATTGGGACTCTTGGCAACTGGCATGTACTTATGAAGGGTTAACTCATTTTTATCAACCGCAGCGATTCACTTAGCAGCGGTGGCAAGAACGGTCATAAAACGGGCCCAAACTGAACAGAGGTTTTGTGTTTTAACCCCAGAAATACTGGTCTCTATTGCGGTCGTAAGTTGAGTATTGTATTTTACCATCCTGGGAAAAAGAAGTCTACCTTCTTTTAAAAAAAAAAAAAAAACCCACACATTTAACCTTTCTTCTCTCTCCTGGTTTCGGTTGCATCACAGTTAAAGCCGAGTTAAGTTTAAGGCAAACATTTTACGCAGGTCGCTCTCGATGGCCTTTTTCTACCCAGCTGACATTTGGGCTGAAAACAATGTCATTTATTTTTTTGTCTTGGCAAGAGTGGCCAAGTCTTGAAGAGGCAGATTTCAACTATAGTTCTCCGGATCCAGCCGGATAAGATGAGAAACTTTTCCTGCCAGCTTGGATGTCAAAAATTTCCAAGCTTCAAGAAGAAGAAATAACCCCCCAAAGAGAACAGATTTGAAAAAGTGATGATCTAAGCAAAATTTCCAAGATTCCTGCAATTTAACCTTTTTTTTTTTTTAAGAGTCTGCCTGAAAAGGTAGCGTTTCAATTTTCTTGGGGTTTGATCTACATACATACATACATATATTTATTTTGGGTGGAAAACTGAGCTCATGTATATTTCTTTTGCGTCCATGCAGAATTTTGCTAAGGTTTTTTTTTTTTTAAAAATAAATAAATAGGTATATCGATGTAGCTTTGCTCAACCGAGTAGAACGGCTTACAAGTCGTCCTCGACTTAATGACCACAATTTGGAGCCCAGAATTTCTGCTGCTAAACAAAAGCGCCATTAAATGTGTTTCCCCACCCACCCAACCCTCATTTTACGACCTGTCTTGTCGCATTCGTTAAGCAAATCGTTGCAGTTGTTAAATTGGTCGCTCACGGTCGTTAAGTGAATCTGGCTTCCCCGTTGATTCTGCTTGCCAGAAGGTAGCAAAAAAGGGAATCCCATGTGACCTTCAGGACACTACAACGGTCGTAAAAACGAGTCGGTTGTCAAGCATCCGAGTGGAAAATCACGTGACTGCAAGGGACGTAAGTGTGAAAAAGATCATAAAGTAACTTTTTCAGTGCTGTTCTGACATTGAACATCACTAAATGAACTGTTGTAAGTCAAGGAGCCCCCTGTATTATTTTCCCATATAGCCTTGGGGTGTTTTTGTCCAAATTTCTCCATGGTTGGCTGATTGCATTCTAACACAGGAACTATTTCCAAGGAGTTTAAAGTTTTAAAATCAGAGTTCCCTCAATTTATTTTCTTTTAAAAAAGCCAGAAATCCATAAATGACAAGTAGAGTCTGTATTTAAATAGGGATGTCGGGATTCCGGCAGTTACCCCTGATTAAATCATGAGTCTTGAGTCAAAACTTCCAAAACTTGAAGATCTATTAGGAGCAAACATGCTCGTGCTACCTGGGTGTAGCAAACTCTGAGACACATCATTCATTGTCACCCTTGACCCTGGTTTTCCCCCACACCTCTGGGTGTATCATAATTCATATTCTCCAATGGGACACCTCCATAGCCCAGAGTCCTTAGTCATGTAAGAATTCAGTAAGAATTGTACGCGGCAGAAACTTCAGTCACCTAGTTACTATCTTTGAAAAACCATGTATGGAATGCACTTTCTATTTCCAAGCTGCCGCACTGCTCTTCCAAACCCCTTTCCCCCCCTCCCTTGCCTAAAATGGGGCAAAACTCCCTTGACAAATGTCTCACTTAAGAACATAAACTCTGGGCTTGATTGCAGTCGTAAGGCGAGCCCATTAAAAGCCACGGCGGAACTGCTTGCGGCTTTTAAATTCTCATTAAGAAATCTGCCTGCAAATGCCTTACTTAGTACGTTCACCTCCTGCCAGGCTCCCACACTTAATTTGCAAGCTGACCAACATAAGAATCAGGATTCCAGCAGTTACCCCACCCAATTAAATCCTGAGTTTCGTGCCAAACTTCCAAAACTTAAAAAAGGATTTATTTGGGAGTTAACATATCCGACACCGCCTGGGTGTAGGCGACTCTGAGGCACATCATTCATTGTCACCCTCAACCCTGGTTTCCTCCATCCCCTGGGTGTATCATTATTCATATTCTCCAATGGGACACATCCATAGCCCAGAGTCATCAATCGCGCTCTCCAGTTAGAATTGAAACTCTATGCTATCGATATGTCCCATCGGAGAATATGAATTATGATACACCCAGCGGGTGGGGGGAAAACCAGGGTCAAGGGTGAAGATGAATTATGTGCCTCACAGTCGGCTACACCCAGGCAACGCCACATCTTCTAACTCCCAATACATCTTTTTGGCGTTTGGCTAGAGACTCGTGATTTAAATGAGGTTAAGTGTCGGAATCCTGACAATAGGATTCCACCCTAATCCACCCTCCACCCCAAATCCACCCTACACAATCTCTTCATTCTTCCCCTTTTCCCTAACGATGAATGCAATGAAAGTTTAAACAAACAAACAAAAATTCTTCTGTACAAGAAAAATCCCCTTCCAGAGAAATTCGATGAGGCGTGATCTCGTTGACCTGGCCTGACTTTTGAGCTCGACAAAAATGCAATTTAAGAGCTCGACAAAACTGCAAAAATGCAGCCTCCCTATACAACAGAGCTAAATCACACACACACACACACACCAATAAAAGTAATCATTAAAACCTAGCTCGGCTGTGATATTTAAATGTTGTCACTGCTTTTCCCAAGCAGGTTTGTATGAACCCGAGGCGTCTGGGAGGGTTTCTTAATTTCTCTACGCAACTCTGCAAAAGTTTGTTTATTTATCCTTCACGTTTTCCCTTGGAGAAAAAAAATATATTGTCAGGGGTGTTTTCGGCCCACTCTCGAAGGAAGTGAGAAGTGCCAAAGATTGCCTAACCCTGGACAGGAAATAGGAAGAATTGGACAATCCTTGGCTTTGTTCCCAGGTCTTCTTTCTCTGCAACATCCTGGTTTACTTAGGGGAGGGGTGGAATCCATAATGAAAAGGAGGATACGACAGCAGTCTTCCAACGTTTGAGGGGTTGCCCCAAAGAAGAGAGGGGTCAACCTATTCTCCAAAGCACCTGAAGGCAGGACAAGAAGTAATGGATGGAAACTCATCAAGGAGAGAAGCAACTTAGAATTAAGAAGAAATTTCCAGGCTGTGAGAACAATTAACCAGTGCAACTACTTGCCACCAGAAGTTGTGAATGCTCCATCAGTGGAGATTTTTAAGAAGAGATTGGATAGCCATTTGTGTGAAATGGGTCTCCTGCTTGGACAGGGGTTTGGACTAGATGACCTCCAAGGTCCCTTCCGACTCTTCTTATTCTGTTAAGTCTGAACTCCTTGACTTACAACAACAATTAGGACCAGAATTTATCTTGCTACGCGATGTGATAATAAAGCACGA